TGCCAGCCAGAAATGTAAAGAGCTCTACCAGTCTGTAAGTGTCTGTTCCTTTAACTTCCACTCATTCCCTGATGTTTTGTTACATGCGGTGTCCACTAAAGCAGGGCATTCTCTGCCTCCTAGGAAACAACTGACTTGATCCACCATGCTTTATGTATCCATAGCTGGCATGCTTGACTTCTCTATGTAGCTAAACCACGCGCATGTAAAAGCTACTTCACTATAAAGCCATGTGGAGTATTCATTTGTTCTGCAATACCTATCCTTTGAGATGTATTTCAGACTTCAGTGGATGGTGTTAGCCCAGCCCATTGCTTTAATGTAAAAACGGGTGCTAGCACACTTTTGCATTGCTTTCAGAGCTTCCTGTTCATGCGTATCTTTGCTTTTATTTGATACCACTAGGTCAACTTGGTAGCTACTGCTCTAAGCAGTGTTAATTCTCAGCATAAGGATTATAGAGAGACAAAGGGAGATCTACAGGCACAGCGGTACCTTGATTTCTGAAAGTCTTGCCTCTTAAACTTGCATTGCAGAGGTTTTTATTCTCTTGGATCACTGAACTAGGTGCTGTGACTTTTTTGTCTCCCCTAATCAGCTGATGGAGGCTCACACCAGCAGAGAGAGAATCATCAAAAGCTGCATCGCTCAAACTTCCAGTGTAGTGAAAACTCTCAGAGAAGAGAGGGAAAAGGCCCAGGATGACATAGCATTATTAAAGCAACTCAGGAAAGAGCAGACGAAGGTGAGTGGTGGAGCTTGTCAGAGATCCCTCAGGGAGGAAGCAGAGAGCTCCTTTCCCAAAGGGACTGACCTCCCTGGTGGAGAGAACCTGAGGTGCATTCTACACAAATACAATAGAAAAGCATGCATGCTTCACCACGGTGGACCCTAGTCTTCACTGACTAACACCACTTAGCATACAGTACTACAACTTGTTTATTCCCTTCAAAATGCCTGGTGGTTCCTCTTTCCTTTTTAGCTCTGTGAAAACTAGTGTCTTGGCAAACTGCAGATATGCAGTGCCAAACTTGCAGTGCCAAGATGCAAACACTAGAAAATAATGAAATATGCGCTTTATGTGGGTGTCTTGCACCACAGAAGTACACAGCCTTAAAGCTGTGCCTTTCCGTTATCACCTTGGGAAGCATCTTTATCACACAGTGTGTTAATCAGGGTCCTCATTGTCTAGAATGAGCTGCCAGGCAACCGTAAATTCCACTTAACCATTTTGTTGTTGTTGTTGTTGTTGCTCAGTATTTCTTGGAATTTTTTTGAGTGCATTGTGATGGTTGCATAAGGAACTTTAACATGTGCACCCCTCTCAGTGTCTGGCCTCTAAGACTGAAGGCTGTAGAGAGGACAGAAAGTGTACTTCGTCAGCAGTGAACAGTACAGTTGCAAGGCAGAATTTCAGAAACGGAGAAGGGAACCCCTCTGGAGTTTCTAGCTCTGTTCCAGAGCCTGTTTTGTAGGGAACAGGATACTGCTCCAGGAGGAGGTTAGCAGAACGTGAACTGTCCCGTTGGTTTCGGTAGGCATTCTCTTTCAGACACGTCTTGTGTTTGTTTTGCATTTCTCAGTTTTCCCCCTCCATATGCTTGAAGCGCACGCCAGATAAGACTATTTATTTGCTTCTTGCCCTTTTGCATACACTGGCTGGCTATGTCTGCTGCCTTCAGCAGTTTAGTGAGCCTTCCTCAGTTGAGGACTGTCTCAGCCAGGGCTTCTAAGCTCATGTCTTTGAGTTTCCAATATAACGACTGTTCTTGTAATAGCCAGACTTCCCACCATCATATCAGGGCACTGTATCATAGGTACAGCTTTCGCTGCTATAGTGTTGTAGGACTTTAACAGATAGGTGGATGGTCCTGAAACTTTGGTTTTTTTGTGGTGCTGAACTTCCTCAAAACCCACTTCAAACTGTACTTGCAAGAGAAGCCTGTTGTTGCCCCTGTATCCAAGAGCAGTTGAAGCTCTGATGCTGCTGTAGTTGAAGAGCTTCCTGAGGAGGTGATTTGAACTCAAGGGTTCAAGGACCAGCATCTGATTTTCTCAGGCCCTTAAGTGAGTGAATTGTTCAACAGGTGTTGTTCAGAGAAGTGCTCCATCATGAACTCAGATTTAAAGAACCAGGCCACAGGCAAGTGGTTTTGTCCTTGAAGCGTCGCTTACAGAACTTCTAACAAGCATCCATATTGGTCTGAAAAACCAGAATGGAAACCTAACGTTTTCTGTGATTTTTGTTTGTGGAACTGATTCTTTGAATCATTGAGTTCTGTAGCCCAAAACCTATCGCTAAAACCTTTCAGAGGACCACAACCACAATGCTTAATAATTAGTAGCAATTTAAAATGTTAAAAGCAATCCATGTTTTGGGAGCGCCTCGGAAATCCTTTGGTCAAATAACCTCTAATCTGCATTTGGACCTTTGTGAGATGATGTGGGTTTTTTTTGTGCACACCATTATGCTTTTCAAATGCATATTTTTTTTTGGTTGCAATAAAGATCTGTTTTGTCTTGTTATTTATGCTGCTTTCATTCTGTTGATGAATGAAACTGGAAGAATTTGTCCAAAGCAACATCTTCTGGGCCATCAATTAAATAATTGGAGTTCTGTGGGGCTAGGAGTCAGTTTTTGTAGTCTGCTTACAGAAAAGTACCTTTTGATTATTACATTAATTTTGCATCATCTTAGTTTTCTTAAATAACATGTCATAAAATATCTAACCGAATAAATTCTGGAAATCTAAAGCATAGAGCATAATCATTAATAGCTTTATCAAGCAAATTGGTAGGGCTTGTTAAAATGTTAAGATATGTTTTAAAAAAAACCAAAACAACTGTGTGTATATTCAT